AAAAACACTTTTAGTTATTAAAGATAAATAACAAATGTAGGATAATTTAAATAAAGAAATTGAAGAATTAAAGAAAATTAATAAGGAAATTGAAGAAAAAATTGAAAAACAACAAAAAGAAGTTGAAGAAAGTAATAAGAGATGTAATGAAAATATTGTAATTATTGAACAACAAAAGAAAGACATTGAAAATATAAAAGAAGAAAAGGAAGAATTAATAAAAAAGAATAATGAGAAAGAAGAAGAAATTAAACAAGTAATAACACAAAATGAAATATTAAAGAAAAGAATTGAAGAATTTGAAAATAATAAAGGAGATGATATTAAAACATCAGTTGTATTAACAGAGAGAATTGAAGAATTAACACAAGGAATTAATGAAGAACGAGAAAAAAATAAAATTATTGAAGAGAAATATTCAAAAGAAGTTAATAATTTAAATAATAAAATTAAAGAATTTGAAGAAAATCAAAAGAAACAAGAAGAAGAAAAAGAAAAGAAAATTGAATTAATAAAAAATGATAAAGAAAAAGAAATTAATGAATTAAAAATTGAAATTGAAAATTTGAAAAAAGAACATAAAGAAGAAGTTTTATTAAAAGAAAAAATTGAAGATAAACAAGAAAAAGAAATAAAAATTGTGGAAGATTATGAAAAAAGTGAAATGAAATACAACGAAAATAATAAACCAGTTTTTGGATTAATATTAAAGAAATATATTAATGAAGGAGAAACAAAAGAAATACAAGAATTTGAAATTATTAAAAATTTTGGAGAATGTGATTTAGAAAATTCGGTTTATTTACTTAATAGTATTATTGAAGTTACTCAAAGTGAAAAAACTGAGTATGTTGAAAGAAATAATACATTAAAGAATCAGTTAATGAATATTCAATATAAATTCTTCATTAAATGTATTCAAATTGCTTCAAGTAAACTAAATGGATTTATTGAATTAATGATTAAAGATAATCAATGTTTTGAAAGAAGAAGAGCTGCTGAGTTTGAACAACTAACAGCAAATTATACAGTAAATTATTTAAAAGAAATTAATAAAATATTAAAAAAGAATAATACTAATGATATTACGCAAAAACAAATAATGATTCAAGTCATTACTTATATGAGTTATTTTGTTATTAATACTTTAATTCAAAATGATAAATTTATTAATTGTTCTAAAGGACTTCAACTTAAATTCTTCTTTAGTATAATGGAGGCAGAGTTATGTGAAAATAGAGACATATTTTATCTTAGGGATTATCTTCAATTAGCTATTGAAACAAGTGGCTTATTAGTTTTAGATCATTCTAATGAACATTTTAATGTTAAAGAAATTCATCAAACTCTTCCTCATTTAAGTGGAAGTATAATTTATGCTCTACTTTCTCGGTTTAAACCTGATAATTTAAATAATGAAATTATTGATAAATCAGTATTGAGTCAAATTGATAAAAATGACACTCCTATTCCTTCTTGTTTTGAATTGATTAAGTATTAATTGAATTTTTATTTGCTTTGTTTCAGTTATGAAAGTTATATTTCCAAACTACAATCTATTTTAATTTCATATACAAATATTCCAAGAAATACCTCTTATAATATACAATAAAAAACATATAACTACTGTCAATGAAATAAACAACTTAATCACTTCATTAATATTTTTCATAATTATAGTAAAAAGACTATTTTAATTTATGTAAATATTTTCTTAATATCTATCTTGAAAATAAACAAGGCAAATGAAGAAGTTATCAAAGTAAAAAATAACATAATACTTAAATAATAAAAGTAATAATGAATAGAGTCAAAAATATTAATAAATTGAAATTGAATAATCATTATAGAAATAATAAAAAGATGATAGAACAAACTATTATTAAACAATATGAAATAATGATAAAAGATGTAATGAACAAGAAATATAAAGAAACAATGAAATAATGTAATGATAATATGGAAATACATCATACACAAGAATCTAAATAGAGTGAATAAATTAATCTCAAATAAATAAAATGAAATAAAACAATAAATATTTACTAAATTTAATTAAGTAATTTTTAATTAATTTTGAATGAGAAACAAACATTTCATGTCAGAGACATACATTAATAAAAAATCAAATAATGAATTATCATATATTAACTGATTATGATGTAATTGAATAAGAAATGTATTAATTAATAATACAAAGAATGAAATAAGATAATATGAATATTAACAAATGAAAATGATATAAATGATGATATTAATATTAAAAGAAAATAGAAATAATAATATAATGATAATGAAATATTCATTCAACATGAAATAAGAAAGAAAGAAGATATTCATTAAAATAAAAATAAACATCCAAGAAGAAGATAAAAAGAATAAATAAACAGAAATAAGTATAAAAAGACAATAAAATAAATAAAATGATTTATTCACAAAACAAGAAGAGAAACTAAATAACAAATAAATGACACTTTTATTCCACTTATTGTAATTTTCAAAGCATATAATGTGAGTAATACAAAATTATAAACTTAAATTTGAAGTAGTTATATTTGAGGAGATATTACTACGAAGGGGTTATTGTTAATTTTTTTTTGTACCCTGTTTTGAATTTAAAAAGTAATTTCTTTCTTTTTGAGAGAGAAAAAGAATGTTCTTGTTATGAAACAATTGTTTTTGAGTTGGAATGTATCAGATTGAACGAATTAGTTTTTGTTTATATATGTTACATCCCTTTTTCTGTTTTCAGTGATTATTTAAATTTGCCATTATTAAAATTATATCTATCAACTTCACAATTGTTTCAATAAAGAAACATTAATTAAATAAACATAAAATTAAAAATTATTTAAGAACTACAACACCTCTATAATACAAATTAGTAACATTAAAAATTGAATTAATAAAAACTTTCTACAACACACTTCAAATGAAATTTACTTACAGCTAAAGTATTTCTTTTGAGACAAGAAAATAACATCAAAAACTAGAATTTTGTAATTTATTTACTAAAAAAATTATATAAAAAAAAATATAATTTTTAATAAAAGATACCATGGAATAACATGTTTTTGAATCATTTTCATTTCTTTACATATTACTTACCAATCATTCATATAAAGAACTGTGAAAACAACTTATTTCATTCGTTAGTTTCATTTTCATGTCAAAAGGAAGAGAATCAAAAAGCAATTTACAAATATTTGGTTTTTTCCCAATAATAATATCAACTATCTCAATTGGAGGATTTGTTTTTATCAAAATCTTAACAAATAGTCAAGAAATAATTTCATTACCTTCCATCTTAGTATTTCTAAGTGTAATAGGGAGTTGCTTCTTTATTATATTGGTTATGATATTTTTCATTATGAAAAGACAAGATAGATTAGTAATCAAAATCTGGACACTTATATGCTCAATTGCTGCTATTTTATTCACATTACTTGCTATTGTTTTATTTATTCAAAGTGTATTATTGATGAATCATTCTCAATTTAAATGTTCTTTAGAGAGAGTTGACCCAACTACACAAGTTTGTTTTTATTCTTTAATCTCTTATAATATAAAAAAATAAAAATAACAAATATTAGTTTATTGATTCAATTGTTATTATTGAACAAAAAAAAGAAGTTAAAAACACATTAGATAATTTAAATAAAAATGCAATACAAAACAGAAAATTTGATTATGAATCTGCTGAAGCTCAAATAGATAGAAAAGAAAATTATGAAGATGATCGTGAAATTTGTCCAACTAACTTTATTGATTTTCAAGTTAAATGGCTTATTGTTATTGCATGTTTTGTTGGAGCACATGCCATATGTTGTTTTGTTTTATCTCTAAGATTTAGTTTAAGGTTAATTGTTGGAATTTATCCTTCTTCTTCTCTAAGTATTGATGAAAAAAATTAAAGAAAGTGAAATAAATAGACCTTTAGCTTAATATGGTTCTTACATAAATTATCTTTCTTATTGATACTAATAAATTTAAGACTAAGTTCATTTTTAGTTTTAAAATAAAAGAGGTTTAAGTCACCTCTTAAATAAAACTAATATTTTTAGTTAAAAATTTTTAATAAGTCTTTAATGTGTCTTTAATGAGTCTTTTTTGTAAGGATTTATTTATAGTTACTTGAAATTCAAAAAGAATCTTTTGAGTAAAAGAAAAGTTATTTCCTTGCAGATAAATATAAAGTTCATAAATTCTTTTCTTTAGAATAAACATTTCTCACGCTTATTACTTCTTTAATTTAAATTGATTATAAATTGTCTCTAATAGTATAGTTCTATTATTTGGTAGTTTCAATTTGTACCATAAATTTATGATTTTAATTAATATTTAATTATCATTCAATTAATTTTTCTATTTAAATTTTTTTAAGAAGAACTAATTTTATTTTTTAAGGAACTTAAAAAATTATAATTTAAAAAGATGAACATGTTTGAAATCAATCAACCTGTGTTTGGAGTCAGCTTAGAAACAGTGATGTCATACCAAAAAGAGAAATATCCTGATGTATCAGTTCCAATAATTTTCCTTTTAATGAGAGATACAGTTATAGCATTAAAAGGTGAAACTACTGAAGGAATTTTTAGAATTCCAGGTAAACAAGAAGAAATAGATGGTTATAAAGAGTTGTTTAATCAAGGAAAATATGAAATTTATAAAGAATGTAGTTGTCATACAATTGCTGGATTATTTAAATCTTTTGTTAGAGAATTACCTAGTCCTGTTATTCCATTAAATTGTTATGATAAATTTGTTGATGAACAAACAGTAGATGATATTGAGAATGATGTATCAAAAATTCAACCTTTATTAGATTGTTTACCACCTATCAACAAAGCAATGACAATTTTTATTATTAATTTCCTTCAACTTATTTCTTCATATGAAGAAAAAACAAAAATGGGAATTGATAATTTAGCAATGGTCTTTAGTGCTTGTATGTTAATTAATGATAATATCGATCCTTTTAGTGCACTAACAAAGACTAATGTAGCTAAATCTTGTATTGCTGCATTAATTCGTCATTTACCAGAAGATGCAATGAAACAAGTTAATATTTCTATTGAAGGATATACACCATTAAGTGGAATAATTCAAGTTGATATAGATCCAATTATTCAATATATTGAAAGTAAACAACTTGAAGAACAAACAAAGTCTCAACCTAAAGAAAAAGAACATGCAAAAGCATTTGGTTTGTTTCGAAGTAGAGCTCAAAGTCAATCTAAAAAGAGAGGGTCAAATGAAAGTCCAACTTTTGCTAGAAGTGTTAGTAAAGAAGGGTTAACCGTACCATCATTCCAAAGTCTTTCTGGACTTAATAATCCTGGCCCTTTACAGAATTCTCCTCATAAAAGAGTTACTTCAGTTTGTTTTACTGGTCAAACAGTTAGTAAGTCTATAGAAAAAGAAACTGAAGTTGAAAAAAAGAGTCAGATATGGGATTTAAATTTAGCTCCACGAGCTTTAGTTAAACCTTCCTTCTTACTTTCAAAAACAATTACTGTTTAAAGTTCTTCTCTTTTCATTTCAATGAAAATCCAATTTATAGTAAACAGTTGATATTATGCCTGATTGAGCATTTAATTACATTATTTTCACTTTCTCTTTTATTTTTGTAACTTTTCTTATAAATTTTGTAAGATAGAAAAGTCACTATGAAAGAAAGAGAAGAAAAGAAGATTATTCTTAAATTTTTATAAAATTATCTTATTTTTAAAGTAACTAACTAACCTTTTTTTATCAATCACATAATAACAAAAGTTATCTTAAAATATTTCCACGTCAATTCTCTTATTTCTTAAGAAAAAGAAATATATAACAAAGAAAGTTTTTCATGATTAATGATGAGGAGTAACGAAAAAACTTTTCATGACTCAAAATAAAAAAGCAGAAAGAGATCCAATAAACTAAAGAACAAATGGAACTCTCTCTTCAACAATACAACACTCTTGATATTCCACAAGGACTTACTCATCAAAATATTTTTTTTGAAGGAAGAATTGAAGAAGAAAAATCTCTTGTTTTCTTTGATTGGCCAAATACTTCATTGAACTTTATGCTTCCTTGTGGTAGTACAACTTTCTATATGAGGTGTGTAGGAACTTGTTTATTGAAATTTGTTGCATCTGAGCTTCCATTAATAAGAAGAATACCACCATTCCATGGATTACCAAAAGAACTTGAGTTTAACACTTTTGTTATTGAAAGTAATTATTTTACAATAACAATGGTAAATAAAAAACCAATTGCACAAAAGGTTTCTTTAATTAAAATAAGTGAAGCAAGAGATGGTGCAATTTGTTTCTATGGAGTAAATAGACGAATGGAACAGTTTGATATTCAACCCCGAAAAAAAATAGAAATTATTGGAGATTCATTGTGTTGTGGTTATGGAATGTTTCCTCTTTCACAATGTGATAGTGTTCCACTTCAATCAGACTCTTCAGAGGCATGGTGTTCTCAGATTGTAAGAAAATTGAATTTGGAAAGTCATATGGTTGCATGGAGTGGTATTGGAGTAGTAAGAAATTGTGATGAGGTTGAATTTCCAAATGACAAAAAAAATATTGACAAACTTTGGAGAAGAAGAAACGCTGGAGAAAATAAATCTAAGTGGGACTTTACGGAATGGATTCCAGATTATGTTATGGTCAATATTGGAAGTAATGATTTTTGGGATGTTGGGGCATCTAATCCATCAAGAAATGATATTCCAACAGCTTTTGTTCAAAAAGAAGAAGAAATAATTCAAGAGATAAGAGAAAAGGAATCTTTACAAGCTTGTTTATCTTCAGATTCAAGTTCAAATGATATTTCAAAGAGTGACACTGAAATAGAAGAAGAAATAAAGAATAATAAAACAAAAAAAGAGAAATTAGTACTACCATCCAAATTAGGTAGAGTTGTTTCACCACATGAAGCAGAAGAAATTCAAAATATTCTTGTTGAAAATAAAGAAAAAGAAAATCATATAATTAAAAGACTATTACAAGAATGGAATGAAAGTCATGAACAAAAACAAACAATTTTAGATGATTTTATTGCAAATGATGAAAGTGAATTAGATGAAGTATTTGAACAACGTTGTGAAGAATTTATTAGCCATATATTAGCAACTTATAAAAAAGCTAAAATTATTATTGTGATTGGTCCTCTTCTTGCTAGAGAAGGTGAAATTGCTTGGAAAACAGCATTAAAGGCATTACAACAAAAAGAACCAGGAAGAGTTTTTGAAGTTAATTGTCAATTATGTTATGATGAAAATAAAAAAGAGTGCTGGGGATTTAGACGACATCCAACTTACATAGCTCATACATTGATTGCAAATTGCTTATTACCACAAATTGAACAAATCATTCATTAACTCTCTATTTTAATTTTAATACTCTTAAAATTACAAAATTGTTTTTAAATAAAAAATAAAAAACTTATTTAAAATAAGAATATAATTTAATGAATATTAAACAAAAAAATACTTCTTCTTATAAACACAATAACAATAATATTAATATATTTTACTTTACTTTCTTTGGTTTATGTTTTGATAAAAAGTCAATTTTAATATAATATGATAGTGTTAATTATATGATATTGATTAAAACTTTAATTCTGTACTTTTATTTTAAATTTTAAATATCCCTTTTTTCAAAAGATATTAACAATCAAATTAATTACATTTCTTGTGATTAGTGTTACAGTAATATTTTTAATACAATTTGTTTTGAATTTATTATGAATTATTTTATTAATAGAATGAAGTTAGAATAGATGAGAGAGTCTTTTTTTGAAAATTCTTTTGATTTTATTGTTTAAATACCAAAATATGAAAGAAAAATTAAAAGAGTCATTAGACTGAAATGGTAAAAAGAAATAAGAGAAGTAAATTAAGAAGAATAGAGAGTAAAAATACTTTTAAGAAAGAGTATAATTTATTTTATTTTTTTTTTAAGAAAATAGAGAAAATTTGTAAGAACAATAAAAAATAATTATTTTTACTCATATGATTGTTCAATCTTTAAACGGTTGATTCTTATTGAATGAGCTAATGCTTTAATTATTGATGAATGGTCTTCTGTATCTTTTGAAGACATTTCAACATATTTATAGCCTAACCAATCAGCTAAAGTTAATGCATCACCCATTGTAATTTTTCTTTGAGCTTCTAGATCTGTTTTATATCCTACAATAACACCAGCTACAGAACATGTTTTGCAGTTTGATTTAGTATCACAAGAAACACATGAGTTGTCTTTAAGATAATAATTATTAATACAAGAGTTACACATTGAATTTGAAGAACATGTTTTGCAATAATCCAAACATTGTACACAAGAACCTTCATTATCT